CTTTTTATTTTTTTAATGTTTCCAGTTTTGTTTTTCAAGAGTACGGAAAATAAAAGGGAAGGAGGGGGGGGGGGAAGGGAGTGTCTTTGGGGGTTGGGGTGGCAAAGAAATCCCAACAACAAAACAACAACAACAAAAAGCCCCCAGCTCTTTGTAAACATCCCCCCTGAGCAAAGGGAAGGGGGTGAAAAGCATTTCCTGATAACTCCATTAAAGAATGAGGCTGCATTAACATTCCAAGTACCTCGACAAGAGATGAAAGTGGGGAACTTGAGCTCAGCCTCTCCTTGCTCCAGATGTTATTATGGGCTCCCTGAAAGGTTTTTTTATTTCTTTTTTGCAAAGAGACAAAGATGTTGCCTACTTCAAACGGGGCTAATTGATGCTAATGACTATCAGATAGAGTGGGGGCCCTTGTTCCCCCCTGCAAAGGGAAAAGAGAGAGCGCATTTTACAATCCCCTCATAGAAAAACGCCTCGGCTCGCTGCTTTGGGGATTTGTGTCCCTCTTTGGCCGCTGTTTTCTCTCCCTCCTCGGCTCCCCCCTTTTCGGTTCCCCTTCTGCCGGGCACCCCGCCGCTCTCACTTGTTTGCCCATGAGAAATTTCACACCTCTCCTCCACCACCCGGCTCCTCTGCCATCCCTCTCCAGCCTTCCCGGCAGGCAAAAGATGGGGAGGAAATATCCCCAAACCCACAGCAAGCACACGTGAAAACGTGATCGGGGTTTGGCCCGCATTTGTAATCCAGGCTGGAGTTGGTTCCCAAGTGGGAAAATATCATCTCAGCACTGAGCATCCCGCCTGCGGGGTCCTATGGGGGAGGAGGTGGTGGCACAATGAGCTGCAGGACGTGCTTTGTGGGCACGGTGGGGATGGGATGTTGGCTGGACTCGCTGACCTTCTTTTCCAACCTTAATTCTTCTATGAGTGGTTGCTTGGATGGTTGGACTCGATGCTCTTAGAGGTTTTTTTATCCAACGTTTACGATTCTACAATTAGGATAACTTGCCCAGCACCGCCACCCTAAGGAGCCTGAGCTCATGGCCTCGTGCTTCGGGCTCTTGAAATCCAACAAAACTGGCTTAGAAATAAGAGTAGAAATAAGGCAGTCAGATCTACACGTGTCAGATTTTTTGCACTCTTTTTCCTCTGCTCACCCAGGTGGGGATGGATGCCTGCAGAAAGGCAGTGGGGGATTTCCCTACATCTCCTGGTTTGCCCCTTCCCATGCCAGGTCTCACCAAATCCCACTGGAGGAAGGGAACAGGGCCTTCATCTTCACCACGAGAAGAGGAACGTGAGGCTCTCTGTCCACTGATGCATAGAATCACAAAATGGCTTAGGTTGGAAGGGAACCGAAGATCCTCTAATTCCAATCCCCCTCCCCTGGACAAGATTTGCCAATATGTCGGTTCACTCATCAGAAAGTCTAGAAAAGTAATTACTGAAGCCTGCTATTATTTCTGCCTGTGCTTTCTGTTCTGGGAGCACGCAGCTGTGCTGGGACATCGGAGTGGCCACCATCTGCTTCACCTTCTGCATCCTCAGCACCTTGCAAGGTCTCATTAACAGACCCAAATTAGGGGGAGGACAGGAGCCGTGGCATCTGGGAGCCCAGTTTGCAGGCAGCAGGGACACGACCAGACCAGTATATGGTGGCTGCTGGCTGTGAGAGATGCTGCTTCTGCCCAGTTCCAGCCATTGGCTGCTGAACTGGTGAAAGCCCCGTGCAAGCAGTAGTGTGGGGAGGAAGGGATGGAGAGGAGGGGACGTGGGGACATGTTTTCTCCAAGAAAAAGACGACACACTGCAGCCCTTCGAGCAGACAGCCCTGCTCCCCTCCCTCCCCCCAGTCCTCTCCCTTCCCACCGCCTTCCTCCAGCCCTCGGGATGCTGATCCGAATGCAGGCACGCCGCCGAAACCCACCCTGCAAGATGCAAAAACGCTTTCTGCAAGGGGAGAGAAGGCAGAAGGGCAGCATCCTTCTGCCCCCGGCCTCAGACAGCCAATACACAACCCAGCCCTCCTTCAGACGTTGGCCTCGGCTGCATTGTCAGGTTAATTTGGGGTAATGGCCTGCAAAGCACCCCAGCCCCATCCAGGTCTCATTAGCACTTGATAATGTCAAGCATCCTGAGGAATTGCTTCTCCCCCCGCCGTCCCCGAGGCACGGAGCCGGGGTGTCCCCGTGTGCTGGGGACATCGCTGCGTGTCAGGATCCGATTCCCCAACTTTTAGCCCCTAATTCCGGGCTCCTTGGAGAATCCTTAGCCCCAAATCCATGGCTTTGAGTCCACGTCATCATCAGGCTGACACCAGGAGCCCCAAAATGCTCGCAATATGGATGCGGTTATTAAGAGCATCCCCAAACCACGCATTTCAAATTAATTGGGAATTACCGACAAACTGAGGCAGCGCCGGCACAGCCCTGAGTGCTGCTCCCTTCAATTATCTTTCCTCCCCGACATTGTTCTCTCCTAATGAGGAGGCTAATGACCAAAGGATGGTTCATAAGTGGTTCCCAGACTCTCCTTGCCCAGGGCAAACACCGTCCACAATAGGATCACAAATTGTAGGGAGAAGCCCCGGCTGATCACATCAGAAACGGTGCAGGGATTTATCTCTCGGCCTTAACAATAACAGTATGTTCTTAATCGCCACTCCAAAGGGACAGCTAGCAGGGGATCTGCCCGGCCTCATCATTAAAAGCTGGCAGCATCTTTGCTAGCGCTGCCCCTTTGTTCATCTTTCATTATCCCAATGCTTCGGCCCCGTTAATTCCCCTCCATCTTATTAAATCAATAAAGAGGGACGGGGAGGGGGGAAAGGATGGGGCAGAACGGAGGCCGGGTCCTGCTGGGCTCTCGGCAGGGATGCGAAGAGTTGGGCTGATAGGACCAGGCTGCGTTTCCCTATGTCTGGAACGGGGAAACTGAGGCACGAAAGCACGGCAACCCCGACATGCTGCTGCCGCCTGGGGTGCTTTAGCTGCCCGCCGACCCCGCGCCTCCTACAAGATCCCCTCCTGCCGTTCATCCCACCCCATCGGGACTGGATGGAGCTGATGCAATCAAGATTTGAAATAAAATCAGCTGCGTTGTCCGCTGGGAACCCTTTTGCAAAAGGTCGGGATGTTGCCGTGCACAGAGGGGACGGAGGAGAGCAGAGGGGTGAGAGCTGTGCGAGAGCCCAGCTGGCTCGTGGTCGACCCGACCCGTATCCAAAAGGGACCAACGGCACAACCTTAAGAGGGAACGGTCCCGGTGCAGAGCATCACTGCGGGCTGAGTCCCCAGCCTCAGGAATGCGACTCTAAATGCAGAGATTTAGCCCTCTGCAGCCCTCGTTCTCATCGCATTCCCAGGCAGCTCACCCCGCTTTGCCCCTGTTTTCATGTACCAGCCAGGTGCTGCTTCCCAGCTGAGAGCTTCGCGCTGTCAGTCGGTGCCTCCTCTCTTGGCCAGATGTGATTCGAGCGGGAGAAGCTGATTTGTGCCTGCAGGCATTCAAGGCCAGGCTGGATGTGGCTCTGGGCAGCCTGGGCTGCTGGTTGGCGATCCTGCACGTAGCAGGGGGTTGGAACTGGATGAGCATTGCGGTCCTTTGCAACCCAGGCCATTCTGTGAGTCTCTGTTCCAATGTGAGCTCAGGGGGATTCCACCCCAGAAAGCTGCAGACGAAGGGACACGGTGCCCATTCCTTCCCAGAGCAGGTGGAGCTGCTGGCAGCCCCCGGTGGCTCTATTTGATGTTTCAATCGAGAATTAAAGGGGAGGGAGAAGCGGGGGGGGGAATGCTCTCTGATCATTTAACAAGATTACACGATGAGACAGAGCTGGGAAATGTGCCTGGCTGTCCCCAGCGACGCCGCCCCTCCGAGGCACGCCGTAATCCCATTTAGCAACCCTCCCCCCCCCCCCCCAAAAAAAAAAGGGAGACGAGGAGAGCAGGGCTGCCATCTTAGGAAAGGGGCACAAATGTGCCCAGGATAGGAGGATTTGGGGGCTGGCAGCCGTTCCAGCATCCTGCAGACTCCTACATCCCCATGCAAACACGCCGTGTCCGTCCGTCGCCCTGCGCTCAGCAGGAGTAATCTTGGCAGGAAGGACACTGGGGGGGTTGGGGATTATCCACCCGATTATCTCTCCTGCTATCTCAGCTCCTCTCCCATCCCACGGATGCAGCCACCCATTTGCACCTATTCACCCCTATTCGCAGTCTGGGGCTGTGCATCCCTCCCCAGTCATGCTTCCCTACGCAGCCTGAGCTTCTCTGAACAGATCCATGCCCCCATTTGTCTCGCAAGGAGCCCCGGTTTATCCACCTGCAGGCACCAGGTGAGATTTTGCTCAGGCAGGCTCGGTGTTGCAACCCTGATAACCTTTATCCCCTTAAGAAGGCCTCTCAGTTCTCGCTGCCTTGCAATTAGCAGCCACTCCACTGAAAACCAGCTCTTCTCCATTTTGTAGAGGGGTGACAGAGCAGCTCGGTGATACAGAGCAGCACTGGGGAAGGGGTTGATGGGCTCTTTGGGTGAGGGGCTGCTTGCAGAGCACAAGGATGCAGCCAAAAAAAGGCTGCATTTCTGCACGGGGTTTGTGGGAAAGCCAGCAGCAAAGGCTCAGCCCAGGTTGAGATGATCCCAGACCTCCCCAAGATCTCAGAGCATCATTCTCCTTTATTTCCCATGATGGGTTTGATCCCAACCCTATAAATATGAGGAACATTTCCACCTTGCTCTGGAAACCATCAGATCTGATTCCCCCCATCATCACGTGCTTTATCCTGCAGGTCCTCACCCTGAGGACACTGAAAACATATTAATTAATTGCTGGGGGGGAGGGAGGCATCCCCAGCACCCATCCATCCCACAGCACGTGTGAGATGGGAGCTGAGCACCCTGAGCTCTGAGCACCCACCTGGACAACAGGTTGCTGAAGTGCTGAAGTGGAGCAGAGCTTCATTCAGCTGCCGTTTGAAGGAGGCAATCGAAGCCTCCCATTTTCATTACAGCTACTCCTCTTTTGGAGCTGCAGAGCATCTCCTGGCTCAGGAACCCCAACACAGAGCATCTCCAGCTCCTGGGGATTAAAGGTGGCCTGAGTAACCCCCTCAATCAGCTCAGCCCCCAGCCGAGCGATATCAAAACATCCCCATAAACCCCGTTGTCTCAGGGATGATTGCAATAAACCCAGCGGTATGCGAGATTAGTGCTTAAACCCGCTGGCACTTGGGGCTCTGTCAGACATGGGAAGACATTATTAGCACAGTTTGGGCTCTTTGAGAAGAGCCTGGCTAATCCTGGCCCTGGAAAACAGAAGAAACAAAGGGCAGCTTCCATCACATCTCCATCCATCCTCTCTTTTTTCCTTCGTCCTCCCTACGTTGTCCCTTCTCCATCCATCGTCTCCCCCTCTCCTTGCGCTGCCTTTTCTCCCACCCAGGAATTAAAGGACAGACAAACAGGCCGTGAGACAGAGGGACAACATTAAGACCTGGGCTTTCCTCTAAACCAAGAGTCGCATAAATAATTTATTTTCGCACTGCAAAAATAATCGAAGCCCTGTATATATTAGATACCCTCATTGCCAGCTATGATACATTCACATATAATACACAGAAAATAAAAATACAAATAAGCAGCCCTGGCAGCTCAGCAGCACTTTGCCACAGTCTGTGCAGAGGGAGGTGCAGCCCCCGAGCCCAGGGCTGAGCCTGTGTCCTCCTGGATGCCCTCAGTCCCCATTGGGCAGTCCTTGTCCTCGTCACCACGGTGGCTCTGGGAGTCAGGGCTCCTCTGTGAGGTGGCCAGGCCCATCTTGGCCAATTTGGCTTGCTGCTGTTCCAGGCTTTGTTTTCTCCACTTAATTCTTCGGTTTTGGAACCAGACTTTCACCTTTGGAAGAAACGAAGATTGGTTTGGAAACCTCAAATTCTCCATGTCCAGACCCTACACTGAGCCCTAATAGCCGACAGCTTCATCATCCCCTGACCAGTAAGTGCCCCCCTGCCACGCTCTGTCCCCAGCATGGAGACAAACTGCCCCCCAGGAGCTGACTTCATACAGATAAGCTGCGACCAAGACCCAAATTCAAGCTGGCCGCAAGCCTGATGCTTCCATACAACATCATGATAACCACCCTGTGACTCAGTTTCCCCAATCGTAACATCATAACAGCCTCCATTCCTCTCACATAAAGCACCAGCAATCACTTGGAGATCCCCCCCACACCTCCCAGACCTCACCTGCTCCTCAGTGAGGTGCAGTGCAGAGGCAAGCAGGCACCTCTCCGTGCCCACCATGTACTGCTGCCGGGCAAACTCCTTCTCCAGCCGTGCCAGTTGGTCACTGGTGAAGATGGTGCGCACCCGTTTGGCTTTGCCAGCTTTGGTTTTGAAGATGGGGAAGCAGCACTTGGAGAGCAGGAAGCCTGGAGGTGAGGGAGAACGGTGGTCAGGGGGCAAGGGGTTGATAAGAGGGGGACAGGAGCTCTTGGAGTGGAGGAATCCCATGGAAGGGGCAGAAGGGGTCTCTCAGGATGGGGTTTTCCATTTGGAGAAGATTTCTTTGAAGGTGGGCCCTCTTGGAGAGGAATCCTTTGGAAGGGGTCACCTTGAAGAGGTGGGAAGGAGGTCCACCATTTTAAGATGTCCCCATGGGAGAGGTGGACAACGGTCCCTCCTGCAGAGGTGAATTAATGCCCACAGTTGAAGATCTCCCTAATGGGGGGAGAGAGATGGAAGGAAGTCCCTGCCCTAAACCAGCCCGTATCAATTCGAGAGTGATCCTATGAGTGGAAAGAGATCCCCATTCGGAGATGCCCACATTGGAGAGCTGGAAAAGGGTCCCATTTGGAGGTGGGGGGGGAGGGAGGGGGGTCTCCTGGAAAGAGCTTCCCATTTGGAGGTGTCCCCGTGGGAGTGTTGGACTGGGGTCCCATCTGGAGAGGTGGATGAAAGTCTCCAAGTTGGAGATGACTCTAAGGGAAGGGTCCTGGTTACAGAATTGTAGAGAGGTCCCCATTTAGAGGTGACCCTACAGAAGAGATCCCCTTGAGAAGGGCTTTCCCAGTTGGAGTTGGGTCCCCTTGGGGGGGAGTTGGACAAAAGTACCGTAGGGAAGTAGAAGGAGATCCCCATTTGGAGCTGTCCCTATGGGAGAGGCGGTCAAGAGTCCCTGCTGGAGGGGTGGAATAAAGTCCCCAGTGGAAAGGGGAGTAAGGCAGCCAGATCCCTCCTGGAAAGATGGAAAAAGTGCCCCGGTTGAGGCGTTCTTATGGAAAATGCGGACACGGGAACCCGGGGCTGGGGGAGGTGGAAGAAGGTCCCCTTTTAGAGACCTCCCCATGGGGGATGTTTTCCCTCCGGAGCTCCCCGCAGCCCCGGCCCTACCTGTGGCCCCGAGGCGAGCAGCCCAGGCGGGCGGGGGTCCGCAGCACGCAGCGCAGAGCGGCCCGGGAGGTGCCCCCCAATGCGGCAGAGGTGGCAGCGAAGGGGTCGGTGGTGGTGGAGGTGCCGGGGGGGGCGAAGAGCGTCCCAGCAGCGCTGCGATGGTGAAAGCTTGGCCGGGCCGGGCGGGGGGCGGAGGGGCCGGGGGCGGCATGGCGGGGTGGGCTCAGGGATGTGCCGCCCGCTTTTATAGGGCCGGCAATGGGAGCGGGGGGGGTGGGATGGGATGGGGAGGGCGGGGACCGCCCCGACGGCACCTCCCGATGGCCGCCCTGGCTGTGCCCTCTGTGCTTTGGTGCTGGAAGGGCGCAGCCCCCAGAGCTGTGAGTTGAGCCCCATTTTGTGGCTCTGTAATCCGGGATATCCCAGTGCGTCCAAAGCCAAGCAGTCCTCCTCCAGGTGGACATCCTTCTATGGGGCCGCACTCCTTTATTTTTAGGGGGGCAGAGCCAGACCCGGTGCCATCGAGGCAAAGGGACGTGACAGGGGACACGCAGAGATGCGGTGGCAGAAGAACCCAAAGATGCCTTTTTCCCCCCCCTTCCCCCCCCCCCACCCAGACCTCACCCCAGGCCCCCCACCCCCCCGGCGTCAGAGCCCTGCTGATGGGATTCAGATGGTCATTAAGGGTTGAGATGCTTAAAACCGAACGGCTTTTCCTAATGAGCTGGGAAAAGTCACACCTCGGCCCAGCGCGGCGGGGAGCACGGCCCGGTCAAAGGACAGCAACCGGGCTCTGCGCTTTATGGGGGAGGAAATGGGGCGCGGGGGGGGGGGGGTCAGGGGCACGGGGCCCTACAGGTGCTATTTGAGCCCCCCACCCCCCCTGCTTGGCTTTCCCGATGGAGTTATTTATCCCCTGCCTTGGGCACAGCAATGGGAATGGGGAAAACGGTTGTGCGTGGGGATGGGTGGCTGATGGCTCCGTGTGTTTCATAGCAAAAGAAGCTTGTCCCATGGACGGCACCCCACACAACCGAGGGCAAATAAAGGCCCTTGGGGGGGGGGGGGCAGAGATGAAAGGGCAGATTTGCCATTATTAGTTCCTAATGACGGCCTTGAAAGGGCCGAGATAAAAAGGCAGGAGGCTCCTTCGTGTTTGGGTGGGAGGTGCTTTCCTTTTTTTTTTTTATGCCCTTTTTCCTCTCTGTCCTCGCAGAGCTGTGTGATGGCACTCAGCAAACACCCCAGGCCCCAAACTGGACCCCCCCTCCCTCCTCCCGATGTTTCTCTTTGCTTTTTGGGCTGATGGCATCCGGGTTTAGGACCAAAAAGTGGGGGCAGCGGTGCTCAATGGGACGGGTGGGAAGGAAACCCCGTTGGGGGGGGGGGTGGAATTTAGGATTTTTGGAGAGGTGATGCTGCGGGTGAGGACTGATGTGATGCAATGAGGACCCGGCCCAAGAACTGTGAGCTGAGATTCGGGATGGCACCTCGATGGCTCCTCGGTAATCCCCAACCCCAAGGCTCTGCTGGCGGAGGAGGAAGCTCCTGAGCTAATTAATAACAATGCTGCTCATTAAGCTCAGGCCGGGCTGTCTGGTTGCCGTGTGGATTGCATGTCTGCATGCCAGGAACGGGGCTCCCAATGTCACCCCGTGTGCAGGGGACACCACCTCTGTCCTTGTGTCCATCCCTGTCCTGCGGCGTCCGTCCTTCACTCTGGACACATAAATCCCTTCGCATCCCCGTGGTTCCCAATCCATCGCTGTACTGGGAACCTGAGGACACCCCCATTTTTTTTCTGAGGGGGGAAAAACAGCGCTTGGAACCAATTCAGCTGAAATAATTGAGTGAAACAGAGTTGCTTGGATGCCCACTGCCATCAAGTGGCGGAGGAGCGTCTGCCCCGTGCTGCAAAAGCTGGGGGTCATTTCCCATCAACTCTTCAATGTCTCAGTCAGCTTCTGTTTGTGGCTTTTTAGAGCTGCCTCGTGGGGTTCGTGGCTCAGGAAAGGTTACTGGGCATCCCAGTTAGGGGGCATCCCAGTTAATGGGCATCCCAGTTAGTGAGCATCCCAGTTAGTGGGGTTCCAGTTAGAGGGCAACACTGGCTGTGGGCTTTCCAGTTGATGAGCATCCCGGTTGGCCGGATCCCATTGAGTGGGGACTCCTGTTGATGAACATCCCAGTCAGAGCACTGGGGTCTGTAGAGATCTCAGCTCCATCCCTGTTATTAACACCAATCCCAGCCTATGGGATCTCAGCCGAGGATCCCGGTTAGCAGGAATCCCAGTTAACAGGCTGTAAGTGGGGATCCCAGTTAGTGGAGATCCCCAGCTTTGTGGCTTCCTGTTTATCGGGGTCCCAGTTAGGAAGCATCTCAGTTAGCAGGCTCCTGATCTGATTGATGCTGGTTAATTGGATCCCAGTTAATTAGGATCCGAGTTAACGACTATCCCAGTTAGAGGGAAGCCAAATAGTGGGATTAACTGGAATCCCACTTAGTAGGAATCCCAGTTAGTAGGGATCCCAGTTAGTGAATGTCTCAGTTAGAGGGTAGCCAAATAGTTGGGGTCCCAGTTAATAGGAATCCCAGTTAGGAGGGATCCCAGTTAACGAGCATCTCACTTAATGAGCATCCTGGTTAGGAGGGAAGCCGGTTAATAAGCATCTCAGTGAGAATGGTCCCAGTTAGTGGAGTCACAATATGGGCATCCCAATCAGTGGGGTCCCAGTTTAGTGGGTGTTCCAGTTAACGAGTAACCCCACTGATGAGCATCCCAGTGAGAGGGGTTAGTGAGCAACTCAGTTAGCAAGGAACCCGGTCAGTGCATACTGCAGTTAATGAGCATCCCAATTAGTGTGTGTGTGTGGGGGGGGGGTCCCCGCTTAATGAACATCCCGGTTATTGGGGAGCCCATTTAGCGGTTGGCAGAGGTTCCCATTAGGGCTGATCCCATTCCTGTCGGGTCGCGGCTGTTCCCCCCTCTGTCCGCCAGAGGCCACTGCCAGACCGCGCAGTGACACGGGAGGGGGGGACGGCCGGGGAGGGGACACACGGGGGCTGGGATACACCGCGATGGAACAGCCTGGAATGGGACGCTTCGGGCTGAAAAACACCGGGATGGGACGTCCTGTGTGGTTTCTCCGACACGGGTAGAAGGGTCCCGGTGGTGGGTGCTGCTGTCGGCCGTGCACAGCTTGGCTGAGCTTCCAGGTGGCACCAAATGGCTGAGGAGCATCCCCAGGTGACACCCAAGGACGTGTCCTCCCACACACAAGGGGGGGGGGACCAAAAAAGCGTTGCTGCCACGGAGATGCTGCCCCCCAAGGGTTGCCAAGGACAAAAATGGGGGCTCTGACCCCCAGATGGGGCTGGGATCTGTCCCAAAACTCCACCCAAAGCATGAGGCTCCAGCAAAGCCACATGAACCAATGTGGGGACGTTGGCCAAGCGTCCCACATGTTGGCTGTCCCAGCGCTGCTCGAATTTAACCCAACACCAACTGGGACAGCATCTAGGCTGCAAGCAGCTCCAAAACCCATCAATCAGCTCATCAAGGACACATCACCCAATGGGTGGCACCAGCTTGGGGCTATGAATCACAGAATGGCCAGGCTTGGAAGGGACCTCAAGGATCATGAAGCTCCAACTCCCCTGCCGCATGCAGGGCCACCAACCTCCACCTTTCATGCTAGACAGGTATTAATCACAGAATGGCTTCGGTTGGAGGGGACCCCAAGACTCATCAAGCTCCAACCCCCTGTGGGATGGCTGAGTTTTGCTTTTGGCTATGAAGCAGCAGGGCTACACATGGTGCAAGAGACAGGGATTCCACAGAATCACAGGGTTGGAAGGGACCCCAAGGATCACCAAGCTCCAACTCCCTACCACATGCAGGGCCACCAACCTCCACATTTCATAGCAGCCCAGGCTGCCCAGGGCCCCATCCAACCTGGCCTTGAAGACCTCCAGGGATGGACGGGGCATCACAGCCTCTCTGGGCAGCTGTTCCAGCACCTCACCTCTCTCATAGTAAGGAACTTCCCCCTCACATCCAACCTCAATCTTCCCTCCCTGAAGATTCCACTTCTTTATTCCTTATGGAAAAGTGGTGCAGCTCTGCCATTCGGGGTCCCAAAAGGAGAAAAGGGGGGGGGGGGGACCCCCACCCCATCCATCCCCACGGTTGGGAATGTCAAAAGCAGTGTCATTGCCAAACCCGGAGCCGCCGGCGGAATTGATGGCAGCGGATTGCCTCCTCCTTTTGTCAATGAAGGGCGGCCGAACCCCGGCCCCGTTAATCTCCCCTACAATTGCAGTTTGCTGTGCAAACAGCTTTGGGGGCAGCGCTGGGGGCTGCATGAGAAACGTGGCATTTGGGGGCATTGTGGGTAAGCCAGCGGGCCGACGGCGGCATCGCTAACCGCGGATTGAAGGGACGGCGAAGCAATTGCCCTTCAATAACCCTAAATCCTCGGCCGTGAATGGGGGGGGGGGGTTTAACTCCGGCCATGATTCCCTGCTTTATGATCTATTGATTGACTTTTAGGAAGGGTAATCATGGATGGGATCGCTGCTGGTCGTGCGATGAGACGGCGGCGTCCCGAGGGAGAAAGGGGGGAACGTTTTGGGTTCCGTACGGGGACCGATGTGGGATTTGGGGTTCAACGTGGGATTTTGGCCTCGTTTTTGGGGTCACGGCCTGGCGGAGAAACCCCATTTGCTTCAAGCGCAGCGGGGATGGGGACACAGCAGCATCTCCACGAAGGTCGATGGGACATCGCCGCCGTAAAACAACGCTATGCCTCCCATTTTCCACCCTGAGATGAACGATAAAAGGTCCATCCCCACTCCAAAGCCTGATAACGCCTCCAATCCTCCCCACAGCCCTGGCAATGCCATTCCAGGTCCCTCCCTCCCAACCTTTGATGGCTTTGGGTTGTTTTTTCCCTCCCCCCCCCCCCCCCCCCCTCCCTTTCCTTTTTCACTTTGAAACTGGAAATGCCCCCGGAGCTACAAACAATGCACAAATAAAGCAAAATCATATTTTAGTCAAAATAGGCAGACGGCGCTCGCAGCCAACTTTCAAATTAGCATTTTGAGGGCAAATATGCAGCCAATTTGAGATAATGAGGGCTGATTATTCAATCCAATGAATGTTAAATAGGCGGCGAGGGCGCCCGCGCCTTATCTCCCCCGCTTCCCAT